AAGCCACCTCAAGTTCCTTCTGCTAATATATCAGGGTGCCGTTATGATGGGGTTACTTTGCGGTCTCTCCACCCCCTACATTCGTACTAAATGCTATGAGTTGTTCTTGGTTGGACACATCCTATTTGCAGTGGTCCTTCTTGTTGCGGTTTTTCAGTGCGTCCTTCATATGCCCCCTCCTAGTCCACGCCTTTAGCAGATGCCAAGTTGACTCACAAAATGCAACAGGCATACTTCCGTTTTCGGAACTAAATATAACGCCTATCTCTGGCCAGTGGTTGTCATATGGTGCTTTGACCGGTTCTTGCGCATCGTACGCCTGGCATATTGCAACATCCGCGTCTCTACCCATGGACGTGTGCAAACCACCACAGCAATGGCAACGTATAGCAAAGACGCTGATGTCATCCGACTGGATATTCAAGCAGGTGGTTCAATTAGGCCTTTACCAGGGCATTACTTCCACCTATATCAATTATTCAGCTGGCGTGGTTGGGAAAACCATCCCTTTACGGTCGGCGCCTGCACAGCACAAAGCACAACGTCACCATTTACGTCCTCATCTCATAGAAAACAAGCGCCCCACTTTATGACTGGAGCCCTGAATGAAAAGAACCCCTTCACTTCAACTACTACAGAGATATTTACACAGGAGACCCAGTCTTCTACTGCTGCTCCTACTCCTGGAAACCTTGTTTTCTGGATTCGTCCCTATAATGGTTGGACAAAGCAGCTGAAAAACCAGTGTTTACGCTCATCGTCTGACGATAGTACTGAGAACGGATATTATCAAGCTTCTATTCCCATATCTTTGGAAGGGCCTTACGGTCATACACTTCCATTACATCACTATGGCACCGTGCTTATGATTGTTGGGGGCACCGGCATTGCAACAGCAGTACCTTACATTCACGACCACGTTTCCAGGTTGTCAAAGACAGGCTCTAGAAGGCCTGGCGATAACAGCACTCAGACTTCCAGCCTTACTCTGGTCTGGGCATGCCGCGGCCATGAATTCATGGAGCAGCTCTGTGGTAGGGAACTTGCCAGTGCACTGGAGCTAGAAGGATTTACTGGGCGTTTCCACTGTACGAAAGGCTGTGATAGTCACTGTGCTGCTGTTGATGACAAAGATGGGGAACTGCGTATTGAGCGTGGACGCCCCAATATTGAGAATATTATCTATGGTGTCGCTACAGAAGCGCAGATGGTGAAGCACAGAATGGCGGTGCTTACATGCGGATCTGCCCATATGTCGGATGAGGTTAGACGCAGTGTGCATAGTATACTGAAGAAGGGGTATGAAGGAATTGAGTATTTTGAGGAAGCATACTCATGGTGAGGCATGTGTGTGCTTTAGTTGAATGCTTGTGACTGTTGTATAGACTGAGTCAACCAACACAGAGATATGTTGGGGGTGTCGATCCACTCATCGTGAAGTCGAAAGTAGTTGCTTTATACAACAAGACTTTCTTGGCCCTTACCTTTGTTGCCCAGTTGCATTTGTATTATGGTAGAACATTGCTCCAATGATTTTCTAGTAGATGCAGACTCGAAGTAGTCGTGGTTGGAAACCACTCAATTAGGTCTCAAGGAGTCAAGCTCACTATAGTGTTCATATGGTCGGAGGACAGTTTGGCCAATGGTTCTTCATGCTGTGGATAGTAAATTGGCACTGTTCCTTGGTTGGTATGCACCCCTGCTTCGTGTCAGAAAACCGATGAAGAAGTGGACCTGGGAATTTAAAAGGTTAAAGAGGACCAATCCAAAGCGCAAAACCTCCGTAGCCAACGGCTCAGCTATGCTATTGTAGACTAAGACTTGTCTAGCGTTAGCGTCATGCCACATTTCCATGTTGATATTGACACCCCAGACCACCAAAGGCAGCGCCATTGGCCCGTGTTGAAGTATGAAAGCCACATTCTTTTCCTATACACTGGCCCCCAGCCTCTGGACTATCTGTCCCCTCCATCCATACCAGAAGGAAATTGTTAGGCGTACAGCGTTAATGCCAAGGATATACGTTTGCAACATAGGGAGGTTCTGGGCCCCTTTGGATTGACATTCATTGGATCTTTACATGGAGGCAGTCAGTGAGAACGAATGGCAGACTGGAGCAGTTTGTATTTTTACATTGTGTGTGCGGTTGTACTGAGTCGCCTGTTATGAGAGCGAATTGGAATATGGACCTTCTACAGTGAGTGTAATGTCTTGAAGTACATTCGAAATTGCAAAACCTACTGTGTTTTATTGAATCTACCAAAGCTTGTATAGTAGCGTCGAGGTCCGAAGTAGTCAATCCCTCCTTCCTCTTACCGCGCAGAAGACCGCTCGCATCAACCCTGTTGGATGTAGGTTTGCTGTGTACATTATAGACCAATTAGGTCCGTAATGCATCAGGCCTGGATTTAATCCTGAGGTTTAGACCTTCCCTTTGGTGGGCAATCTTCCGTCAGACACCAGTATTCTTCACCTTGCTCACGGCAGTCTTTGCCATATGCACAGTACCAATGACCACCATGGGCATTGTTCACGTTTGGCGCCTTCATGACGAGCCTAATTAACCTGGTCAGTGAAATAATGACTAATGTAACGTTTACCAGTCACTCACGGTCCCATGGGCTGATTAGAACACACTGAGCTATACAGGTGCTTATTGACGACTTGTACTGTGTACGCAGTCTGTCACAGTCTGTTAGAATGAACAACTTGCCAGGACAAAATAGAGTACTACTCACATATGCCATATCGTACCAGAGACAGACCGTTGCATTTACATCTGCACTACAGGTCTTGGTCTCGCCCACGGTCCATGATTCCGACACTGAGAAGCCAGGAGCGAACCACCCAACGTTCGCTCCGGCTGAGACAGTGTACCCAAATGTATAACTCGCAGTGAATCCTACCCCACAGCCCTTCGCACCTGGGCCATCTCGACAATCTCCTGTACTGGTCATTTGCCGGTGGAGATAATCCGTATGTGGGTTTCCATCTCCGACAAGCTCGTAACTGCAGTCTCCCATACAACACATAAACTGGTGACCCATGAGCTGTCTCTCTTCCAATGTGTTGTTTGTGCCTGATGTGTTGTCCACGTGGATTACATGTGCTAGAGACAGGCTTAGGCAAAGGAGGAAGGAGATCTTCAGGAGTATTTCACACATTTTGACTTGCAGTATGTAATAAGTACGGCAGGCCTGGATAACTTGCATAGGGCACGGTTCAACGTACAGCAGCTCCGGATTGCACTCTCTATATATAGCGCGTTAACCCCATTCTGTGCTGTTACCCCTTAAACCTAATCCAAGTATACTGTCAGCCTGCCCCTCCTTAGCTACCTTAGGAGCTCAACGAGAGTTGTACTAGTAAAGTACACGAGCGGGAGAGACGAGAGAGAACGCGGTCTGTCAAAAAGATTGAAATTGCAGGCTTGCGGTCAGACCCATACGGATAAGCTTGGAGAGCAATATCTCCATGCGGAGTAGTCAAGATCAACATCTTCTGTGTAGATTATAGTGACGGCTTCGGCTTGCAACAGAATTGCTTTTGTGTAACCAGGTAGAAGAAAGAATGAAATCCCACAAATGCCGACGAGTGCCAGTAACTTCCTTCATGAGAGTCAGACGATTAATGCCCTGCCCTGCGGCATGTAGTCAGGTACGACTTGACCCAGACCACCCAGACAAAGACTACGCCCGGCAAAAGTCTATGATACACTATGTTTAAAAATTGGCCAATTGGATTTCAAAGTACTATTGTATCTTTGTGTGCCTTGGCCTTAGCCTTGCTATGTTTCGCAACTCAATGGCGGCCGTGCAGCGTCGGCTCCACCAATGCTGGATTGTCGACTACTCCCCGAATGGAGAGAAACAAGAAAGAGGCCCTTGTGCTCGATGCATTTATCTCTAATTGGACGAGTAACCGCGTTGGCTGTAGACAAAGACTGTCTGCCTTTCTCCTGTTTTGTTTCATTTCGGCGGAGGAACAGAAGGATGGAGCTGCAGGATAATTGTTCAACCCGCAGGCATATAAGGTAGGAAACGCGATGATCCAGCATAGTCTGCGGAGAAAAGAAACTTAAGCCATCCCCTGATCGTGAGATCTGCATACTCTTAGTATTTTATAAGTTTCACCTGATCTTCTTCTCATCATCTCTATAAGAGATCAAGAAAATCAGATCTTTCCCGGTCGAAGATCCACACTATGTCTGCAACAGAAAAAGCGACGGCAACGACGGCAACAACAGAGCTGCCTGTAGAAACTCTGGAAAGCTTATATGGACCCGAACTGGACTCGAAAGATGTATGTTCGTTTTACATTCGCGATCAACCGAACGAACCAGAAGACTTGGACGCACTCCGAACCTGCTGCACGCCAAATATCATCCATAGATACAACGAGCACCAATACTGGTGTGAAGTTCCTGAGCGTTACTTCCCTCCTACGCCCGACTTGAATGTGTCTAATAGGATTATTGAAAGATGGGTGGGTGGCAATATGACCCAGTGTATCAGAGGCACTCATCCGAGTCATTATGTTGGGTCAAGCACATGTCACTTTTCGAGATACAATGTCCGCAACGAGGCCGCTTCCTTGGTTGTAGCGTCTGTGCCGTTGTATCTTGGACTACTGGGTGGTCTGTGGTCTTTTAGGTTTCTGTTGCGGTAGGTGGTGCCTGGTGTGGAGAGGGTTAATAGGCTTACACCTTGCGTGGATAGGGCCTGGTTCTAGTTATATAGCACAAGTGGTTTGGCAGATAATCCAATCGGAGGGGCAACTTTTTATTAGCCACTGGGTTTCAGAAACATAGGACAGCCCCAGCGTTCCAAGATAGCTCAAGAGAGGAAAAACCTATTATAGTACACAAGAGCCATGAGTATATACATAGCACCACCTGAACGCCGATCCGTATGTTGCATGCCACTCTTCTTTCCCAAAGCAATGCCGCTAAACACCATGATGTACTTTTCCTGATTACTAAAATGATGACTGGTGTGGACCTACAGTAAAAGGTCATTATCCTCCAGCGACGATCCAAGGTCAATACCCACAACATTCATCTCTTCTGCGGCGGACGCAATCTGATCTTCAACTCTGCTCAATTCAGTGGCAGCCCGGCCCATGATAATACGTAAAAGGTCAGTCATTATATCAAGCTGATACTGCTCCCGCTCCTGCGGCTCGAGAGTCTCGAGAGTAAGCCCCCGCGCCTGGAGAGCAGACACCTTGCGCTCGCTCAAGATCTCCACCAGCCTGTTGACATGGGAGATGTTCTCCTTGCTTCTAGGAGTCGTTGAAAGGCGACGGAGACGGCGCTTGGGTGTGTCGGGCGGGACACCGGCCATCCGTGCAACTTGTAGGACTATGAGACGAGCGGTCGCGTCGTCAGGAGAGAACCCGAATGTTGATCTCAACGAGCAAAGGGCAATCAGTGTGCCAGGGAGGTCTTTAGAGAGACAAAAACAACGAATAATTTGGTTATAGAGTTCTTTTGAGAACTCTCCTTGCGTGGCGGCTTGGGCCCGTGTAGGAAGGCGAGAGTACCACTGCATCATCTCCGCATAAAGGCCGCGAGCAGACGGAAAGTCTGCAATAAATGCCGTGCGACCGCGGTCATACTGAAGTTTACCGCAGTCCCATAGGCAAGCAAAGGTTTCCAGATCCGGTTGGATCGACGTAGACATGGTTCGGAACTTGTCCCACAAAGATCCGATATCCTGTTTCCGGAGCTCGGCATATAGGATGTGGTTCATGAAATAGGAGTTTGGCTTAATTTGAGCATCGCCGAGGCATTTGACTAGATATTTGACCATACCATCGTCGCTTCTTCGGGTATAATGGAGGAGTAGAATGGAAAATGTCTCGATGTTCGCGGATGGAATCTCTCGCCGCATCCACTTGGGTATGCGAGGACTATCTGGATCGGGGCTTACGGTCAATTTAGGAGAGCTTCCAGCCGAATTGGTGCGCGCCCAAACACTGTCAATCCGCTGTTGAACCATAGACCACCCCAGTCGTTCAGCTTTCTCTCGCGCGTCAGGATTGCCATCACGAAGCCAAGCGGCAATCAGCCCATTGAGATGTTTTGAATCCGGCTTCACTCCCCGTTCATACATCAACTCAATCACCAGTGCAGCAGAGTCAACTTCACCCATTCCAATGAGCTTCTTCATCCAGCTGGCATAGAAGAATCGGTTCTGGAACCTCCGAGGTAGGACTGTTAGCGTGGAAAGCGACACCCTGTTCACATCCTGCTCCGAAATACTCGACGCCTGGAGATGACCAACAAGGCCGACGGCTGCTGTGTAGAGGGAGGTCGAATCATTTGCTGGGTCCTGCCCTGTCACCATCATGTCTTTGAACACTGCGATAGCCAGACTCGGTCTCCCGGCTTTTAAAAGACCAATGCTGATATTATCATAATCACCCATAGTTAATGTGTTCTCAAGAAGACTTTTCAGCTGTAGGTATAAAGCCCACGCCTTGACCTCAGCTTCTTTGCCAGGCTGCCGCCCCCAAGCAGTAATAATTGGAAGGAGGATGCGAGGTTCGCGTGACTTGTCATTTGCTAAAAATGCGAGAGCGATGTCCTGTGCTCGCTGAGGGTCATCTTCAGCAGCAAAGAGCCGTACACCCAATTTCCAATATGCTTCAAGGTCTTGCTTGTTTTGCGAGAGCCCCGTTTGATGTGCCTCCCACTGATCTAGCGCTTCCTTTGTTTTGCCAGTTTCTCGGAGCGACTCAATGTAAGAGAGCAGATGTGGCGTCGAGAGCGATTTTCCAACTGACATTGCGTCCTCAGCGAGTATTTGGATATGGCTTGCGCGGGAAGATCTTGTGTGGTCACCAGCTTGAGCATGCCATAACAACGTCAGAGCTTCCTCGGGTATTGACTCTAGGAATTCGGGAATCATCTGTTTGCAACGACGGTACCATTTCCATAGCTCCGGCCCGAATCGTTCGTTTGATCCATCGCTTGCGATCCGGGTCAGGCATTGGTTGAATTTCTCAATATAGGGATGTTGTTCCGAAGTCGCTACTGCAACCTCGTAGGGGCGCCGTACAGGCTTTTTTAGCGAGTTGTCTTTCCCTGTCGAATTCCAGTTTTCCTCTTCTTTGGCCAGGCCCTCGAATTCCTCTTTCAACATCTCATCCAGCTCATTGTCAAAAACCTGCTCAAGGCCAATATCGGCTCATCCTTGCCATGCTCCGTCTCATATTTTCTCAGAGCTTCTAGTGCAATGGCTCTCTCCTTCTCGGGTAGCTCCTTGATGAACTGACTATTAGGGCCGTAAGGGCCTTCTTTCAAATCCTGCAGTTCCTTCTCAAGTCTAGCCAGTTCGCCCTCCACTTCCTCCCGATCGGCGCTGTCTTCGGCTTCTGGATTGACCTGCCTTCTCTTTTTGCTCCCGCGAGTATCTTGTTCGTAAAACCGAACCTTGTCATTGGGGCCGCCATACTGGAGGGAGCGTGGCGCTACGACGGAGAATGGTCGCCGTAAAGGAAGAGACGGAGCCGACGGTGTTCTGAGCGCCGCATGCTGATACCACCGAGCTCCTCGAACAGCTTGGCGCAGCATGAAGTGTAGGCGGTTAGATCATCTGACAAAAGAGCACTAGTGAGCAAAAGTTGCTGTGACAGTAATAAAGTAGAAGTTTTGCGGAGAGTTATCGCATGGAGCTCCGCGGCGGAAAATCAATACCACCCAGTTTGGTTTAGCGTCAACGCGAGCTCCGCCGCGGTTTCAGTAAATCGCTCTACATTCACTCCTCCCCAGACGACAGAGGGCAGGCTGTCTCGAAGCTTACCTACTATGGACTTGGATACGGAAACGCAGGGTGTAGCCAAGGATGGCTCAAACACTCAGGTATTATCCTGCGCTGATAGCTAAAATCCATTACAAATTCACTAATGCTTTCTAGGGTGTGTACATCTATCGATCTGCAACTTCCGCGAAAGCTCACGGAGAGCGACCTTCGAAGCGACGAAAGGTGCAACCCGAGGATAAGGAACAGAAAAGTGAACCGCACCCTTTTGTTCCCTTACTGGACGGCGAGGAAAACGAGTCATCGGTCGAATTGAGGTACAATGCCTACCAGCTATTGTGGTCAACTCAAGAAACCAAGATCCAGGTTCGCAAACAATAGATGCTTGCCGATTGGCTGGGTATGGTGTGTCTTGCTAACGGCAGGTAGGAGATTCTAGATGACGTGGATTCCGAAGTTCTTGAGAACGTTTTATCCTTTGTTCGGTCGACTTCGCATCAGACGTAGGTAGTTCGTTGTTTGGACACGAAGGCGCTTTGAAATTCCTAACCAACGATAGATATGATGGATGCATCCCCACAGCATTAATAACAGTTGGATCCAATGTTTCATCGCTGGGCAGACTGTTAGCTAAGCTCAATAATCAATTAACTGCGTCAGAGGAAGGCGGAGTGGTCATACTGGAATCTGGCGATGCGCCCAACCTTAAGGCAACGTTGAAGAATATTATCCGAGCTGCCGTCACAAACACTGAAGGTAACGATGGATATCAAAATTTCTTGACGGATCGAGAGGTGCGTTTGCCCCGTCCAAACCCCATATGGGCGAGATGCTAAGAATGCCGTAGGGGCCTAGACTTCTTGGGTATGATCTCGATTTACTTGGAGACTATGTGAAAAGGAAAGGGATCAAGAAGTTGGTCGTAGCATTCCGTGACAGCGAAGCTTTTGATCCGAACATTCTAACTGATCTCCTGTCCCTCTTAAGGTAAGGCCCACGATCCTTACTAGTCCATCAAGTTAATTGTTCTAGTTCCTGGCTTGATCGGATACCATTTACCCTATTGTTTGGTATCTCAACATCCGTTGAACTCTTCGAAGGAAGGCTTCCTCGGTCAAGCGTAGCCCTTCTTAGAGGTAGATACTTTGAGATTCACGGAGCAAGTAACTGTGTTGATCGCATGTATGAGCGGTTACAAGCAGACCAAAACGGACGATTCTGGCTAGGGCGCAATATTACAGGAGTTTTGTTTGAGAAATCGAACGACTATTTCCAAACACCGGAGGCCTTCACTCGGACAGTCAAGGTATTCACCATATTACGCCTACTAAACCGATCAATTCTAATGGGGATAGTATGCGTACATGACACATTTCTTTGCAAATCCATTGGCAATACTCCTATCAAACGGGGTTTCCGTGAATATGCAAGACGAGAAGCTTTGCGAAGCAATTAGAAATCTTCCATCATTCCGAAGGTGATATAGTACCTCCACTTAGCCTTTTCTTGACTAACCCCACCAGATTTTGCGAACATCTGCTTGATGATGCCTCTACTGAACAAGTGCGCAACTTGTTGGAGAACGACGAGTTTCTGTTTCAGCAAAGCTTAAAGTACATGGAAATCGGACAGCAACGGATGAGAGATATATTTCAGGTTGTCAAGACAATTTATCTGTGCCTTAAGAGCATGGATATAAGAAAAAATTTCACGATGCCAGATTTGTCAATTCGTGCACTATCTGGAGAATTGCAAGATTCTACTTGTATGGATGACCTTCTTAGGGGCCTGAAAACGTTGGATTCTTGCAAGCTAAAGGAATTCCTTGCGTTTTTGCCTCAAAACCTGACTGACTGTCTGGAGTTCCAAGAAATAAAGAAAGACTTCGAAGCTCTTGTGCAGACATACCAGGGCACGGAGCCGCTCCGGAGTGAGTATGATAGCCATAATTCCATCGTGGCAACAACTGTGGTCCAACAGCGGGTGAAGCTCAGTAAGAGCAAAGCCAAATTACCCCAGCAGAATATTGAGTATACCAAGGTAATCGATCGCGTTCATGCTCTGTCAGAAAGGTACTTTGTGGAAACATTGGTGAGACCACAAGACCTGTTCTTGCATGAAGCTTTTCTTCTTGATATGAAAAATCCTTTGAAGGAGATCTTCTCTCCTAGGCCACGTTTTGCGATCGAACGTGCCTTAGCCAATCCTTTCGACTACCTGATGTCAATGTCGGATAGGGTGGAGGCTAAGATTTCCGCGCGACAGCCAGCCACGGCTATCTTATATCAGCTATATCTCGAGTCCGGGGCACTGGTGAACGTTTACGACCTTTGGCAGGCTTTTTATGCGGTGTTCGAGAGTGAACAAGGAAACGCTTGCGACGAACGGATGACTATGACATTGTTTTATCGGGCGGTATCAGAGCTCAAGGCGCTTGGTATGCTTAAAAGCAGTCGGAAGAAGGTGGATCACGCTGCCAAATCAGCATGGATTGGACTATGAATATTATTATCCCAATTGTACAGTTAAAAACATTAATGAAACAGGCTATGTAATATCGGGACAAAAGGGTATCATAAAAGCAAAATGAACAAATAGCTACAACAATCACATAGTGCAGCCGTCAAGTAGATGAATTCCATTCCTCTCACAATGGAGGCAATACAAAAGGAAACCCGTCGTCAATCATTCGGAGATAGGCAGTTGAATGATATCTTCATGACCAAGTGGTCGTCCTCCATCACTCAACACCATAGCCTCTCTCCTTCGTCTCCTCACAGCCTGCTCCTCAGCACTCCGTTCCCGCAAGCGTCTCCCAGGGACTCGACTTGAGCCGGCAGTATCATCACCATCTACCATCCATATATCACTGTCATCGTCATCCTGGTCGTTTTCCTCGATCATGCTACCCATTAGACCATATTTGCGTAGTTGCTTCGTTCCCTCCGGATGGGACGAGAGTGTGCTAAATATTGAACTCATAAGAGTATCATCGGCCCACCAAGTCTTCATGAGTATCACTACGTCTTGCCGGCGCGATGGCTCCGAAAGCGCGCAGGGAAACGGGTATTTTGAGAGCCAACGACTGATCACGCCAGCCTCCAGAGCTGCGGGCACATTCTCTGGAAGAATTAGGTTTAGTGTACCAAGCGCCTTTTTCTCCCCGAGAGGTCTAGTTTTGGGTAAAATAGGCGATACTGTGGTGGAGGTCTCCTTGGTATGTTCGTTGAGGAAATTGCAGAGACAGTCGACAAGAGCGTTGTATGTGGGCGGGTCTTTCAGTCTGGCACAGATGGAGGTCCGGGAAACTAAATCGTAGCAGTCAGTATCAACTTGAGATATCACTAAGCCGAATATGTAAAGTCCGTACATGAGCGGTTCGATACTAGGAAGTACATCGCACTGAGGGCTTTGCTTCGTCTCTCCTCGTCTGTGCTTACAAGGTCCCTCAAAAGCAAATCTCGAGTTTCTCCTTTTGTAGATCTTTCAGCGATAATACGCAAAGCACTATGAAGAAAGTCAGTGCCTATTATGGCCGTGTATACAGGAGCTGTCATACGCTGCCCGGAGGTCGTAGCTTGTGCTCTCAGAGAGCTTTAGTAATGTGTCCAGTTTGAGGGCTGTTAGTCAATTAACCACTGAATAAGCTACTTCGGAAAAAATGTAACCAACCGTCTTCCGTGCCTTCACTGATCATCTTATCTTCCTTCTCGACATGCTTAATCTCCGTCAGGTCTCGCACTCGGCGGAGGTCCGTGACTATGCCGCGAACAGCGAAGAAAAGAGAAACGCCTATAGGGTCAGCAGCTCATTCAATTACCATGAATGAATCGCAAAAAGCTCACCTAGCATAGCCATAAGAACCTATCATTCATATGAGAGGGCATGGTTCGGTTTGAAATCGAGGACGATCTATACTCATGGTATCGTAGAAAGCGGAGAGTAATGATGATCTAAAGACAAACCGGCAGAATTCAGCAAGTAAAGGCGGTGAATATAACTTTTTTCGGACATACTGCCGCCGCCAGAAATTTCGGAGGAGAAACAGAACGCTTTTGCGACCACTTCAGCACGCAGATATGCCGCCGTCGCAGTTGAAGCAGCTCAAGGCCTCTCTCCGCGATAGTGGAGTGTTGGGGCCACAGCAGTCGAAAAAGCAAAAGCGCCAGAATGTGAAGAGTGGTGCTGCGGCGCAAAATCGAGTCCAGCGCAATGCCGCTTTGCAGTCAATTCGAGACCGGTTCAATCCATTCGAAATAAAAGCGGGGGGTACACGGACAAAATTTGATGTGACAACTCGAGATGGGAATTCAGGTACAGCTGCTTCGCGTGCGCGACCTGGTGTTACCAAGTCACTGGGAGAAGAAAAAGTGAGTTTTATCGCAGCTCTATGTTTCACTGTATTTACTCACGGATCTACAATATACAGAGACGCCAAACGCTATTACGAGAGATGGAGAAGAGGAACAAGGTCGGTGGTATATTAGATCGTCGATTCGGTGAAGATGACCCGACTATGACGCCTGAAGAGAGAGCCGCCGAACGTTATGCTAGAGCAAGTCAGCGCAAGATGCGGAAGGAATCAATGTTCAATCTGGAGGGGGATGACGAGGAAGAAGAATTCCAACTCACACACAAAGGCCAGTCTTTGAACGATGTCGACCAAGACGATTTCCAAGAAGGTGACTTGGGCGGGCTGGAAGATGATGCCTCAGATTCCGAAGTAGCCCGAAAAAGGAAACGAGTTCTCTTCGATGATGGCGAGATGGATGGCCCAGAGGATTTAGAAGACGGGGAGGAACATCCCGAACGAAAGAAATCAAAACACGAAGTTATGAAGGAGGTCATTGCCAAGTCAAAATTTCACAAGTATGAGCGACAAAAAGCTAAGGAGGACGATGACGATCTCCGTGAAGAACTCGACAAAGGACTTCCTGATCTTTTCGAAATGCTAAGAGGAGTGAAGCCACCGCCAAAGCCAGAACCTCCGAAGAGTGATCTGGCATCTATGAACCCAGATCGCGCTGCTCTTATGGAGGGCATAGCCAAAGGAGATACTGAAAAGGAATATGACCAGCGCCTCAAGCAATTAACATTTGATAAGCGATCCAAGCCAACGGACCGCACAAAGACAGAGGAGGAGAAAGCCGCGGAAGAAGCAGAGCGGCTGAAGGCTCTAGAAGAAGAGCGTGTTCGGAGAATGCGTGGCGAGGACGTAAGTGAGTCAGAAGAGGAGGAGGAAGACGAAAAGGAAGAGGAAGGAAGTGACATGTCCGAAGACGAATCCATCCCAGATGACGCGAAGGCTTTTGGTTTGCAACAATCTTCGGGTCAGACCAGTACTCTTCCCGAGCTTGGCGTCGAAGACGAGGATGATTTTATAATCGATGATGATCTAGTTGAGACGAGATCCAATGTTAGCTTATCAATCGGCGACAGTGATGAGGAGGTATTATCTGGAGAAGAGTCAGAAGAGGAAGTGGAAGAGGACGAAGAAGACGAGCTGATCAACGGCTTTACTCTCCCTAGCGATAACGCTGGAGAAGTCCCTGCTACAGGTGATGCACCAGAAGCTAATGAAGGGTTGGCTTATACATACCCTTGCCCGAAGAATCATGAAGAGTTCCTCGAGATCATTAATGATGTGCCCATGGAGGACCTTCCGGTGGTCGTTCAGAGAATTCGAGCTCTACACCATCATCGTCTGCACCCGGACAATAAGAAGAAGCTTGGCCAGTTCTCTCGCATCCTTATTCAACACGTCGCCTACATGGCCGAACAGCCCGAGCATCCTCCTTTTGCCATTCTTGAGAACATCCTCCGTCACGTCCACTCTCTAGCAAAGAGCCACCCCGAGAGCGTCTCTCAGGAGTTCAGGGCTCGTCTACGTGAAATCGCAGCAGACCGTCCACTTAATCTCCGGCCCAGTGACCTGGTCATTCTAACCGGAATTGCCACTACCTTCCCAACATCTGATCACTTCCACGCCGTCGCAACGCCGGCGCAACTGTGCCTTTCGCGATACCTGGGACAGGGTGCCGTGAACACTCTCGCAGATTTTGCAACGGGTGCCTATGCCGCAAGCCTGGCTCTCCAATACCAATCGGTTTCCAAGCGCTACATGCCCGAATTGATCAACTACGTCCTCAACGCCCTGTGTAACCTTGCCCCGGAGGAGCCAAAGAGCAGCCTTGGTCTCTTCCCGTCTCGGAGACCGGAGGAATCTCTACGACTGAAGATCTCCAAATCGCTGAAATCGAGGAAACTCCAGTTCTGGGACGTTACTGGCCCGGAAAGCCCGAAAGCCCAAGAGGAGCTCAAGATTTCCCTCATTAACACATTCATATCTCTCCTTGGCACCGCCTCCGATATGTGGTCCGACATGTCTGCTTTCCTTGAGATCTTCGATCAAGCTCAGAAAGTCTTTAGCTTCCTGAGCCGATCCTGCAAGGGTAAGATTCCCTCCGCTGTTCAAGACACCCTGCAGTCGACCCTCGATAAACTCGACGGCCACACCTCGAAAGCCCGCCTTACTCGTCGCCCGCTTCTACTCCACGATCACCGCCCGCTGGCTATTAAAACCGCCATCCCCAAGTTCGAGGATACATTCAACCCAGACAAGCACTACGACCCCAACCGCGAGCGTGCGGAAGCCAACCGGCTCAAGGCCGAGTACAAGCGCGAGCGCAAGGGCGCCATGCGGGAACTACGCAAGGATGCCAACTTCATTGCGCGCGAGAAGCTGCGCGAAAAGAAGGAGCGCGATGCCGAGTACGAGAAGAAATACAAACGACTTGTGGCCGAGGTGCAGAACCAGGAGGGCAGAGAGGCCAATGCTTACGAGAGGGAGAGGAGATTGCGCCAGGGCAAGCGGTAATCATGTCGCTACTCACGACATTCCTGCTGGTTTTGGTTGGGTTTCAGGTATTATTATTATCTTGGTGCTTAGACTTTGCATGCCGAACATGTGTATATATTCTTTATCATTTTATTTGTCAAGGCTGCCGATCAAAAGAACTCTTTCAGGTCAATTATATCTCCCAATTGTCCATGTGGGCTCTAAGCGCTATGCAGGTTGAGTAGCTGTTAAGATAGGTACGGTTAGCATCACTGTTGAAGCTCCGGTCCGATGCTGATCAAATATTCGCAACGTTCCCTCTGATCTATGGGTACTTCCTCCATCTTGGTTTCGTTTGTCCTGATGAAGATGCGACGATACCCTTCATTGCCCCAAGTATTCCATTGTGGACTCCCAGGGTAACGATGAGAATTTGGGTCAAATGTCTTGATGAAGCTTGTCCAGTAACCTTGCATAACGGGTACGATCGGCGCATTGGTAGTGAAGTAAGATGAGGGTGGTTCTCCTGCCACATAATTTGGGCCCCAAATAGCGTTGATTTCCACCGTATGATCTACACCGAGGCCAGATTCTTCCAAGTCTGGGTCTTGCACGGCGTAGTGGTAGTTCCAACTGTTGATACCGGCCTTAGCGTAGATAGAGGACAGGTCAATCCCAGGGCAGATATACCGCATCTCACCATATGCATTACTTGCAGGTCTCCAATAGGGTTTGGCATCCGGGAATTGGCGCGTCTGGTTCTCATGGAGATACCAGGCGTTAATTGCAGCAATTTGCTTCAATTTAATAGTTGGGAATTGATTCTGGATGAACATATCTGCTTCCCCAACCTTGGAAACATTCTTAGGGACGAATATGGTGCCTTCATTTGTGTCGTCGCCGAAAATGACAGGAACCTTGATAAAATGACCCTCGTGGAACAGACGGTACGTATAATCGGAAACAAGATCACCGTCAACCACTGGTCCGTATAGATATAGGGGTGCCTCTTGTGCATTAGGCAAGGGTGTGTTGAAATTTTCACGCTGGAGGATCTCCACGTCCAGACCACGCAAGCATGCAAGGGTGTCGGCGTCACTTGCACAGCCAGTGCGGATGACTATGTTGTTGTATGCAAACTGACTTTGGTTTAGACTAAGCATGGTAGCAAAGCTTTGCGACTCCGCAGCAGCCGCGTGAAAGAGACCATCATCCCTTCCACCATAGGCTGATAGAAGAAGGGTGATGGAGGCGGCTCCTGCGCTAGCACCACCTAAAACCACATGTTTGGGGTTGCCACCAAACTTGGGCAATTCGTTAGCATTATCATGCCGCGGCCAGTGTCTAAACCCTAACCTTGTGTATATGTTTCTGAACCCACTCCAAGACTTTAATCTGGTCCTTTAGGCCGTTGTTTACACTTCCATCTTGTAGAATCTCCCTCCCCGAGAGGAACCCGTACGGGCCAACACGATAATTGAAGGTAACCACGACGATTCCCATGCCAGACGCCTGTATCAAGCCGGTACCGTTATAATTCGGATTTGAATTCTGATTGAAGCCCCCGCCCTGGATCCAAACAAATACCGGCAGTAACTTGGAATGATCCCCAGCTCTATAAGGAGAATACACATCTAGAAAAAGGCAGTCTTCAGATGTGTCTTTGGGAATCGGATACTCGCTAGTAGGAATACACGTAGGGCCGTGCTTGAGAGAAAGCATCAGCTTTCGCGCAGTATGTAGCCCTGGATAAGTAACTCTACCTCAAATGCATTCTGGATCCCAGCTACCGCGCTTGGATTCTGTGGGGCAGAGAAGCGTAACGCCCCTGTAGGAGGGGCAGCATATCGAATTCCCAGCCATTGTACTAGACCGTTCGAAAGCGCTTTACCCCTGTATTGAGCATACTCAAGATCTACCACCACTTCTCGAGCAGCCGCTAAGCAGAGAAATATGAAGATTTGGGCAGCTATAATGTACCGTACCATTCCGAAAGCATTTGCAACTCTACCCTGTGCTCCCATTCTGATACGTGAATCTGAAGGGATAAGTCTGGGAAACACAATTGCGTGTAGACTTGGGCTGTCTTTTATAACATTTCCGTTGCTAGCCCTTATATAGCCTGAGGGCCTACCGGCCAGTGGCCACCATCGTATGGCACATGGAACACATACGAGCTAGCATTCACTCCAAATTCGCACTAACGAGAGAACTGATCTATGCCAAGGGCCTCAGTGGCCAGATTTGCAGAAGAAGGTTCAGTAGCTGACTCGAGCCATGGCTATCAATGGTGTCATCGCGTGTCCCGACTTTGATCGGCAATGCCTAAGAAGTGGGAGGGGAAATGAACTAACTGCCTGACCCCATTTATTCAACAACCTGTGGAGAGTTGATTGGGTGGACAGTGCTTGACGCTAAAGCATTAACATTTAGAGGCAATGCTCCGTATCAGTTTCACTCACAATAGATATACGTAGCCAAATGAGCTAGTAGTAGTGGTAGTAGTAGTAGTTATCATGGATTCAGAGGTACTTACCCTTCCTTGAGTACTGTGCCGTATTGTGGGGCCCGAATGAGAAGATAGACCAATAAGAGATTGAGAACAAACGTTCCTCCGCATTGACAAACTGCGTCGATTTTCTTCCCCGCAGTTGGAAACCCAGAGGATTCATCCAACATATAGACTTACCGGGTTTACTCGGGCAATCTCCGCGTGAAGAAGTATTGCCGTGTCGGCTTTATACACATTCTAATTCTCGAGCTAAATCCCGCATCGTTTGTCTCTCACCCCATATTTCCGGAATCTACTTCCGTGTCCGTTTCGCGCGCATCTTCACCGGGAATGGCCCCTCATCAAAACCCCGCACCTGATGTAGGGGATGAAGAGGAGGACGATTACATGGCTATGGTGATTGAGGAGCCGCAACAAAAAGAAACATTTACTCAGAAAAAACGCCGACAACAGAGAGAGGTAGGTAGCATGTGCTGATGCGATCCAACCCTTGTTCTCTATTTCCCTCACACCTGCAAGGCACGCAAGTGATCTAATGTGCTCCTCTCCTTTTCTCAGGCCGAAGCTCGAGCTAAAGTCCCATCCAAAGCCGAACGTGCAGCCCAGGAAGCCGAACGTCGCGATGCCGCCTTAGCCACCAGTACGCTTAACCCCTCCAGCAAGGGATTTCAAATGATGGCCAAACTGGGGTTCAAGCCGGGACAAGCATTAGGTAGATCCCAAGGTGAGGGAGTATCAAACCAAGAACCTGATAGCACATCCGGCGCCCGAGCAGAGCCACTCAATTTGGTGTTCAAGGAGGACCGGGGTGGTATTGGTCTGGATAGCGAGAAGAAACGCAAGTTCCGGGAGGAGGTCGAAGAGGCAGTGAAGAAAGTAAAGCAGGAAGAGGGTGATTACCGCGATCGTGTCCGTATTGAACGGGAGACGCGACGTATGGAAGCTCAGTTTCACGCTGCGCAGAAGGTTGCCGAACGATTGGATGCGGAGGCGGACGGGGAGACCGCCCAGAAGAAGCGTGGGAACACCCCGTCTGAGCATGAAGAAGGAGAATCCGAAGAAACGACCAGTGGATCAAGAACCCCGCAGCCCAAGGTCAGGGTCAAACCGACCCTGCAAATCAACATCCTATATCGCGGGCTCGTCCGTGAACGGGAGGAGAAAGAACGTTCCATACAGGCTCGTCATCTATTGCAAACGTCCCTGCCATCGTCATTTTTCCCCAACCCACGGTTACCAGGGTATGATGACCCGACGCTGGAGCGGGAGGATACAGTGGCGCTCGACAACAAACCCGATATCTCAACTATCCTTGAGCAGGAACTTGACGAAGAAGACCCAGAACTGGACGAGTTTAATGCACTCGAGCCGAGTGAGCGGCTGGCCCGGATAGTGCAGTATCTGCGTGAGACATACCATTACTGTTTCTGGTGCAAATATCGCTATGAGACCAGAGAAATGGAGGGGTGTCCAGGTGTGACGGAGGAGGATCATGATTAATGACTTACTTGTACCATACGATTCTTAGAAAACCACATCCGATGTTCCTTTACATGCCTATATATAGATAGCTAGAAAGAGAATGGCAGATCAAAATTAATCTATGCTGTCTAGGCAAACTCCCAATAACTATACATTGCCCTAAACCACGGCCTACAGTGACCGTATATACAATAAATAAATAACGACGAAATATCCGCAAAGTTTTCTTGACGCATTATAACATAAACAGATGGCAAGCTCTGGCAACGAGAGCGTAGCGAAATATTGGACTTTGAATGTCACCCCGGAAATATGTATAAGAAATTAGACTATAGAACCTATGTCCATGTCCTGGACAGAGATCAGAACAACGATCAGTAATGAGTGAATAGCTACTCGTGGGAGGGCATCGTTTTCATAAGCTGCGCCAGCGAGCGGTTCGGGCATTTCTGCAGCGTCTGGTAACAACTGGCACAAATGCGCAGGCAACAGAAAACACATCGGTATCGAATTTCTCGATCATATTTCTGGCAGGTCATACATGGAAGTGGATGCCAGAGGTTGTTGGCAGTGGGCATTGACCGATGTTCCTGGTAGCAAGCATAGTGTAATCGGTTTAGCGGTGCGGCGACGGGGTCGTAATCTGGCGGCGTCCATGGCCCGTTACTCTCTTCGCTTGAAACCGGTTCGATATATGTACTGGTACCGTCGATTTCTGGCTCTGGCTCTGGCTCTGGATCGGGAATATAGCTCTCTAGCGGGTCCTCGATCGGCCGAACGTGTTCTTGAGGGTGAATAGGGTACTGGTCTTCACTGGATGGAGGAGTTACTTGTTGTATAAGAGCCGGAGCCGGAGCCGGAACCGGCGGCTCCTCCCGCTTGGGAACGGGGACTCGAGGAAACCTGGGAAGCGGGCGGTCTTCATATTTAGGGGTAGGGTTGATGTGATGGTACGGCGACTGGTTTGACAACGAGTCGGCTGGGGCAGAGGGGAATGCGGGAGGAGAAGGCAGCGGGTTGGGCGGCAGGTCCTTCTCTTGCGAGCGAAGAGAACGGCCCGGGATCGAGTCCATTCGTGTTGGTATCACGACTTCGTCGGAACTTGAACTTCTCCGTGGTGGTGATTCGGCGTTTTTCTTTCTGGATTTAATCGCAGAAAGTGATGGCATTCGGAGACCGCGAGAACGGCTTTCCTTGTCGAGAATAGCATGGTTCTTCTTCTTTTTCTCGCCTTCCTCTGTATCTTCTTCTGATCGCTTCGTAGGTTGAGATTGTAATAACGGACGGGCAATTACCAATGCCGGCTGACGTCGGTGGATATCAGCGCACTTTACTCCGTAATTGATAACAAAGAGACTGCGCGATTGGCATCAGCGGAAAAAAGTATGAGTACTTGGCAAGCCCACAACTTACTTAAAATCAGTCGACGTAGATAATATATGCAGTGGTAATTAATACAAGGAAGGAAAATCAAAGGAGGAACACAGAGAGGGAAAAGGAAAAAACACTTTGATTAATCTGGGTCGAGTTAGGAACAAACTAGAGACCAAAGCTGAACTGTGGAATGGATCCATCGATTTACTGGATCGAACTACCTTTTAGTTCGGATGATAGTTCGTTACAGTCTTGAACCAAAAAAAGAGAAGAAAAAAAAGAAAAAGAACAGAAAGAGTAATAATAATAACAAAACGAATAAAAATTTACAGGAATTCAAGATAACGAGCTCCCTTAATACATGACAAATCTATATCGAGAATGGCCCTTTTCAAGTCTGTTAAATCTTTGGTTCCAGTCGTGTATCGCCGATAATATTATCAGGATCAAGGTGGATGAGAAACTATGAACTAGTAGTTAAGGAATCACGGTGAAGATCGATTGGATATCAGATACAGAGTCGGTACTCCGTAGCGATGACCAACTTGGCAAGAAAACTAATGGAAATAATCTGAAAAGGCAATGGCCGATCCATTCAGGAGCGATGCAGATATGTCGATCCTCATAAGATCTGGCGTCATACTTTGGTATTAATCATTCCGTGCTAATCTCGGAACAACAAATGAAAATGCTTGGACAGGTACAAGAAAATTTAATTGATTAACCATGATTGAATTGTTCTTTACAGGGAACTACTCATTACTGACTTACGATGTGATAATATATAGAGATTACAAGGAATGCTCATATTATATGGATAAAAATAGATTTAAAACTCATGAACGGGTGTTCAATTCTCTGTTTTTTTTTTTTTTATTTTTTTTTTTCTCTCTTCTGATCAATAAGATTGTTGTGGTGGCGTGAGGTCGCAGCCAAGTAAATTTAGGGTCTCCCAAGTGGATCTACGTGGCATATCTGAAACAGACGCCCTCAAGACAGTTTTTTATTTATTTATTATTAGCTTATAAAGGTTTAATATTTTACCAGTATCACAACCGCTCCGATGTGGTGTAATGGCTAACATCGCTGTCTCTCACACAGCAGCTCGGGGTTCGATTCCCCGCATCGGAATTTTTTCTTTAATGTTCTACATTCATTCGTATAATATAATATCCATATTGCGTACCCCTACCTTCCTACCTCCGTTCATTTGTTCCTTGTTCATCTTTCTTTTTATTTACTGACTTCCCTGCCCTGCCCTCCCTCCACTCGTCCACTTACTTTCACCATCTGTCCTTCTCTGAGTACCATCGGTCTAATCCATAGGTACCATTACGAAAACATAATACAAGAATCTGGCTCTATATCCCACCACTTTGTATATTCAAAATCTATTCAGACTAACTGCTAGCACGGAGCAAATCAATTTGTACCCTAATCCAGACAGAATGCTCCTTGTCAGCACGCACAAGCTACCTAAGCCACCATTATCGAGTAATATGTATGCAATCTGGCTACCTACTACCTCGCCCGACACATATGAACGAACAGTCAATCAAGTAACACAAGTTCTATGCCAATGTATGTATATAAAGAAAGAAAGAAACGTCCGGTCCGGTCATGCGAATACTAAGATCATGGGCGTTAAGAGCAAACGTAGAAAAATGGAAAGACACTGAAAAAGGAATGCAATATCGCTTTTCACTAAAACCCTCCTGCGCCGACAGATTTGCACCACTGGTCTCTCGTTCCTTCTCTCGCAGCCAAATTGGTCATATCAGAAAGATAAATGAGAAAGAGGGGATGGTGCGAAAGTCAATGAATGGGGAAGCTGGCACCTTCAGGACGTGGCCTGGGGATTCCCCGTAGAGTCGGTGATCTCAACTGAACGTGTTTCGAGCTCTTTAGGAATTAAATATCCTTGGCTTTCCTGTAGCATGAATTCCGACCCTGCGGATGCGGCGGCGTCAGCTTTAGAGACCGAGTCATCAGTATGCGTATTATTCCCTGGAAGCACGGACCGCGAGGCAGACCCCTCAGCCTGCGGATTTGATGACGTATTTTCTACGTGCTCTGCAGATTCATCCCTTTTGTCTTCATCGCCAATAACGGCAGCTAGACTCCGGAAATTGAACAGCGGTTCTGTAGACGAGCCGTTCCCCTCTGTGGTCCCAGTGTGATCGCCAGACATCGACTCAACAAGAGAGGAGAACGATGAAGAAGCGCTCGAGACATGTCGCAAATGTGACGGTTTCGATAACTCCCTGGGCGAAGATTGAGGGACGGAAGATTGCATAGACTGATGTTGATCTGCCAAATTCGCAGGCGGATATACAGCATTCATACTAGCGGACGCAGTACCAGAACTTATAGACGTAGTATCGATGGGAGCATCCGGGGATACACGATCCACTTCTTTACCCTTGCCAGCAGGCGTGCTTTCCTCGCCAATAGCAGAGGAAGAGCTGCTCGCAACCCTCCCTAGCCCTGTAGGTACATCCAAAGCGGATCCACTTGCATTGACACTGTAAAGACCGGTTTTACGGGCAGACTTTTCTGCCTTCTTGGCCTCCTTCTCTCTCTTTTTCGCTTCTTTTTTCGCTTCCTTCTCCTCCCTCTTACGGCGCTCCTCCTCGCTGGCTAAACTCAGCCTAATCGCCTCCATCATCATCATCTCTTCCAAATCGTCAATGCGGTTTCGCCGAGAACTATTGCGTGGCGGCGCTATATTCCCAGACCCTTCCTCAGCAGAGTCCGTCTCGTTTGTAGCAGCGCGTCGATCCGTTAAGAATGCAAGAGCCTGCAGCGCCGGGGAGCCTGTGCGGCTAGAAGAACTGTGAGGATCCGAACCGCCAGCTCTCCGCATGACGCCTCTCCGCCCAATATTGAAAGTTCGAGAGTCGCTTCCATTGCCATTCGAATTCATCAGATATGCTGCAGTGTGGAGAGCGGTTGCCGCTGCAGACCTCCGCGCAGCATGCGCCCGAGCGTTGGCCAGTTTTTGAGCCCAATCCGGACGGACCTTATCGGTTGTGATTACCGTAGGGTCATTTGCAGACAATGATGTAGCGCGCCTCCGGCCCGTAACGGCCGTAACATTTCCAGAAGAGAGTGAAGATGTAGATGATACTGGGGAAGTGAAGTTTGGGCGAACACTAGGGTCTAATGCATATGTGAGTCCTCTGCGGAAGGGTGGCGGCGCGTACGTCACTCCAAATTCAGGCTGAACGCAGAAGGGACAGGCTGCAGGTTCCGAGACAAGTTGACAATCCTGGCTATCGGCAGTATCACCCTCGGCGGCTGCGGCAGGGGCGTTTGGATCAGAATCTCCATGCTCAGGAGGATGTGGGTCGGGACGCTTGATCTGTACAAAGCATTCAGAGCAGATAGGTTGGTCGCAACACCTCGTTCGGTTTAGGTAAGGAGGATAATAGAGGAAACAAATGGGGCATTCAGCTGCGTCTTTATAAAGGTATGCCTCGATGGGCTGCCCATTCACGAATGGGTCACGAGGGAGCTGCATCTCCCGGGGGGCTGGGTCGGCTTGTGTACCATGTTTAGATGTAGTAAGAGAGGCAAGTGTCTTTGCCCGGGTGCGGAACAATGGCGAACTCGAAGTTCCTGAGGTCAGGGGTGATGTGGGGGAAGGTAAGGAGTGGGCTGGGGTGGATGATTGGGACGCATCGGAGCCATAAGATTGTGATCTTGAAGTGATAGGTACCGTCAGATGTTGGATTCCTTTTGTATCAGTTGACTCCTTTGCCCCTTCTGTAACTTTTGGTGGGTTCTTATACTCTAGCTCTGGAGGGATTTCATCGGGCGGTGGAATAGGCAAGCCTCGCGCGGCAGCCATCAGCTGATGCTCCGTCCAAGAATCAGAGAAGTCGTTAAGACCTCTCCAGAAGGGCGCAAGCCGTCGTTCGATCTATGCTGAAGAATTAGCCTTGATCGCATCAAACAGTTGGCGCAAATTTCATATTACCATTAATTGCCTCACCATAGCCTTGCTGAAATCTTCCGTTCCCGTATAGACACCCTGCGTAACTAGGTAACCTCCATCGACATGTTCTTCCCTCATACTACGCTCCCGTTCCTTGACCCGAGCCACCCGTTCCCTCTCTAAACGGCGAGCCTCTCGCTCTTGCTTCGTTTCTCGGCGATGCTCGAGGGTCGCAACATCCCGCTCTGAGCTTCCGCCGATTCCGAGAATGGAGAGATCTGGTCTACTGCCTCGCGTTGATCTGGAGCCCTCTGAATGATGTCTGTCGCCATACGGTGATCTTCCATGTCCACCGCCATGGCTTCGGCGATTTGGAGGAAAGGGTGGCCGGGCCTCTCTTGTCTGTGAATTGCCCATCTCTGCCGAGAATGGGAATTGGTATGAGGAGGGTCAAAACGGGGAAGTCTGACAGTTGATAATCTGAGAATCTGGGGAGGCTGCGGAATTCCGGATAAGAAAGCGGAGACGACGCGAAGTGTCCGAAAGATAGTAAGAGAACAAATTAGAGATTTGAGGGAACCCCGGGTGAGACTCCCAAGTGGAAACAAGAAGGGGTCAAAGTGGAGCGATAGATTGTGAGACCATCAGTTATTGGAGCGGGGGGGGAAACAGAATGGTGATATTAAAGTCGCTGTGGCCATGTGAGCGACAAAGAAGCTAGCTGGCTGCTGGAAGCGGCGATGAGATCAGAATGCGGGC